AAAGTTTTCTAAATTGTCTCATTAGCTCTTCATGCTTAACTTGATGTCCTGAGCTTTCAACTGAGGTGTCTGCAGCTGAAGTCAGGGGATGTAGCAGATACTCATATCCGGTGAAGTTTTAAATCTACATACTTCAGACAAGACAGTCAGACACTGAGCTGCCTTCAGAGCTAGTGGGCAAGTTTGAAAAGCCTGGCCCATGGTAAGTGTAGACAGAGATAATAGTTGTTTCACTGGTTATGGGAATATTTTTCTGTGGTTTGGTGCTATCTGGTTTAGACTTAGAGAAGAAAATGTGGAATCCAAACACCCAGCTTCACTGTGAAAGCAGTGCATGCTTAGGTTTTTTAGTTCTTAAGAGGATACTAAAACGTGTCTGCAAAAGCTGTTACTACAGATGTCTGTCATAAATTAAACACTTTAAACAAACATGAAATCCACAACACAAAGTGTTTTCTAAGGATGGGGTTTAAAAGGGGCTCTGTGTTTGGTCTAACCTGTTCCAAATAACATGAAGAACTCAGTTTTGAGTTTGGCAGATGCAAAGTACTTTTAAAATATCCCACTGAAGATACCAATCAACAGTTTAAAAATACCCTATGTGTGGGCCCTCTGCATGCATTCTGTAAACATATACTCAAGTGGCATTACTGCATGCTTTGTGTTAATATTTCAGTGTAGTTATTTGTTAATGTAGTTGCATGCAATATTTTCATGTGAGGTTTTGTATCATTCGAACCTGCCCCCTAATATTTTTACAAGTGCTGTGATTTATGAGATCATAAGAAAATACCATTAGATACAGATATGTATATGTGTTTACCTAAAGATCAAATCAATTCTTCAAACTGACATAAACCAGTCTATTGCAACAAGGTTTCTAGAGTCATTACAGTTTAAAGAGATCAGCTAGAAATTAGCCTATTGCTTTCATCGCAAAGCCTTTACTCTATAAATAATTGCTTTGATTTCAGTGCCTGTTCAGCATGTGCAGTGGTGTTGGAGGCCAGCCCTTGTCCAATAACTGAATTGATCATGCAAAGTGCTGAGCACTCCTGTGAAGACTACAGACTTCCAGTGTTCAGCAGCATGATGGATCTGACTTAAAGTTCATAAATATTCAGAAAGCTTTGCAGATGAGAGGAGCAGTCACAAACTGGTGTTAGGAAAGCATTTTCTTAATTGCATGAAATATAAAATAGAAGAAAGACTCAAGAACTCATAATCAATTACCTAGCAGTGGTAAATCATGTCTGGAGAAAGAGGGGAGTAACAAGAAGGGGAAATGGGTGGGAGATGATGAAAAACTATTGCAGCACTCTAATTTGGTATCACCCCATAGATGCTGTACCGTTGCTAACCTGAATGTTTCTAACCTGAGTCTCTTCTCTGCTGAAATTGCTAGTATCTATGTAGAACTACTTCCTTACTTAGATCTGAGCAACCTTGTGTTTGTGGGTTGCCTTTCAGTTTGTGTTAGTGGGTACCTCACCCATGCAGTCTGTGAGATAGCAGCACTCCCCTGCTCTCAAGTGGTGCCATCGCATGCAGTGGTTATTTGCCCATTTTCCTTCCTTGCACACCTGGGCCGGTCAGAGATGGCAGGAGGTTTTGACTTTGTCAAGCTCACAGGGAACACTGAGAACAGGACCTGCATATCCTGTCTCTCACTCTTAGGCTTGATCTGCTAGTGTTCAGCAGCTGCCTTATTTATCCTACCTCATGCCTTGTTAGGAGTATGAGTAGATGAATTGCCTTTTCAGGGTGTTAATATGCTGCAGCCTCTTCACATGTTTCCTCTTGCTGTTTCAGGCAAATATACGTGCTTTTCACTGGATATTTAAGAAACAACATCAGGAGGTCAGATCAAAGCTGTATCTAATCCTGTCTTCTGCAGTGACAGTGCTTGGCAGAGGAGGCTAAAGGAGAATGATAATACCCAGGGTATTGAAGTCCCCAGAAGTACCAAGAGCTGCTGAGCCTGACCTGTTAGAGTGAGATGAGCTCAGTCACCAGCCACTCTCCCACACAGACCAGGCCAGAACTGATGTCTAGTATGAGGAGATGTGCCACTGTCCCCTGTAAGTCTGTCTGCTTTAGTCTTTCCTTCATGCAATGTCTTGATCAGTGGTATGTGGTTAAATGGCCATAGGCTATCTAAAACAGGAGATAACAGCTGGGATAATTTCTGAGAGTGTGCACAATCTCTTTGGATAGGCTTTGTAGGCTGTGTCCCGTGCAGCAGAACTGCAGTGCCTGTGATGAACTGGAGACCTGAGTATCCCCTTGAGAGGCAGAGTTTAGTGATTTATCTCTAGGTTTGCACAGACAACTTTCTTCATACCAGTCGCACAGGTGTGGATATGTATCAGCAGATGAATGCAGTTTCAAGCAGTGCATAAATCAAAAGCTACCTACTTTGTTCCTTTTGGGGAGGCTACAGGTTGCATTAGGTTTTCCTAACAGAATTGCTGTGTTACTCATCCATGTGCTAGAGGAGGAGAGGTTTAGTGAACTGCCATATGTCAAATACCCCTTGTCATTCTGATTCTGAGAAGTCAAGCAGTTAAGGTTGTTTGGTTGTTGGGTTTTTTTTTAATTATTTGAGAGGTATAAAAATAAAGCTCCTGAACAGCTAATTCCTCTGCATAAGCACTGGTTATCCTACACCACAGCCCAGAGTATATTCTAGAACTTGTGTGATGGCAGGGCATCAAGCAAAATCTAAGCACATATGCCTTTGCTTTACAGCCTCATCTCAAAGCTGCCTCTCTTTTCTCTTATCACTTTCCAGATTCAACTGCACTGCACCTTCTGCTCTGCCTTATCAATAAAGAGCTGTCATCACACATTGCTGTCAAAGCAAAAGAGCAAACTGTTGTCAGCAGATATGCATACAGCAGCCCACTTAGCTGAAATGACATTCCTAGTCAGTCCTTGATAGCCAATCCTTAGAGAAAGTTGCGGGCATCAGTTATGAAATGCTTGATAGATAAATAGGAGTATATATGTAAAAAATTAATTAATAAAGCACTATTAAAATTCCTGTAGCTGTTTTGGCATCTCTGCTCTATATGAGAGAGAGGGATAAGCCTTTTATTTTTTAATGAGAATTGATTATTTAACAAACTATAGTTGGTGATTAGATGCAGTGATTACACTGCCTTACATGAAATTTTCCTTTAAGTGGTTGCTCAAAATAACAAACAGCTGCAAGAAACTTTAGCTTTGTACTGGTGAAACTGTCCAATGCCCACAGAGCTTGTTTCTCTGTGATCTGTGCAGTTGGATTTTTTTTCTATCCAGCTGGATTTTTCTTTTAATGCTGTTTATAGGAAATGTGGTATTTGTACCATTTTAACACATTCCAATAGCTACCCTGCACATTGAATTCCTGACCACAGATCAACACAGTAGCCATCTAATTATACTTTTTGTGTTTCACTATTTAGGAAAAATCTTTAAAATACCAACAACCAAAAATTACCTCCTTAAAAATTTCTATTCCTGTCTTTGATTGACACTTTCACCTTCAGCTAAATGTGTTTGACTGTAGCCAAATCAATCCATTCATCATGTGGCAGTGTACTGCCTCCATTACTGTTCCCTATTCATCCAATCAGGGAAAATTAAGATGGGGGGTGTGTGTGTGTATGTGTACACACACACATTTTTAAGCAGCTATGAATCCTGATGATATCTAAGGATTTAATTGGCTATCATGGAGGTTACTGAAACTTTTGCTACTGCTTGCCGTAAAAGCAGGATCAAATCTTAGTCTCAATCCTACAAGCATTATATAGACCAATTTTTTCAGGAAAAAATTTCCCTTGAGCATAGTCTGCTGGCATTAACTCCAATGGAGACTTTTCTTTATTTGCAATACAGATCTGTAGCTTATTATGATCCGAAATGACATAATTCATATACAACATGTATGTGCATGCACATGCATGTATGTGTGTAGTACCTGATGGATGCATAATAGAATATTTTTTCTAATAGATATTGCAGTTTATACTGTATTTGCATTTTAAACATAAGAATATTGAAAACCCTCTCATTACATTTCAGGAAATTATATTTGGTCCTTTATGCCAACAAGGCTATCCTGTACATTCTGCTGTTAGTAACTAAAATGAAAGCATAGCACTATTTTACAAAAAGAAAGATTAAAGTGCATAAGTACATAGATAGGTGCAGATCCTGCTGTGAGCTCCTTTGAAGCAGATATACTCTGTTCAACATCAAGGATGGCTGGTTTAAAGAGCAACAATTCTAGTGCAAATTGCCTCGTATGCTGGCAACACTTGGCCTTCCCGTATGTACATGGCCTAATCACAGAGACCTCCATGTACAGTGTTCGGCTTAACATTGCACATGGTTTATGACTCTATGAGCCTGCAGAATTGGGCCCAAATTAATCAGGGTACCTTTGGAAGCAAAAATATTCTTGGCTGCAGAACTAATAAAAATATTCAAAACGAAAGACATCTATTTTACGTGCATCTATTTTCAGAGCTATGTTAAAAATGGACATCGAGAAGAATTTTCAACAAAGAACCCAAAGGATAAGGAATCCCCATTGTAGGGCAAAGTGGTGTCAGCACTGTGTGATGAGCTGCTAAGCAAGTTCCCTGGATGTATTGCTCACCATTCTAATGTGCAATAACAATTATCTAGGTTTGTTCTTAATACATTTTTTTTGTGTAGCTGTGTATGTATAGAGAGATACAGCTTGCATGGGATGAAAATTCTTCAGAAATGGCTATTTCATCTATTTCAGGGCTTTGTCAGATTAACCGCAGCTCATTTCAACCCTTTGAGCTGGAATTTATTTACAATATTTTGTGCTTTTGAACTTTTCCTCTTTGAATAATGTTTGAAAGAATTCTCCTACTGATCTACAGCCATGATCTTTTGGAAAATGTGGTCATTTTGAGATGAGTAATAAAAAGAGTTCTCTGTTTCCTAATACAATTTAGTCAATTAGTGGATACTTTTTATTACGGCTCTAGATTAAAAGCTCTTAACAGAATGTCCAGATCACCCACATTGGCAGCTTGAAATAGTTCTGGCTGGTCCATCATAGACAGAGCAATTCGAAGTGCTGCCCAAATATTGCCTGATAGAGCTGGATGGGGAACCTGTTGTTGATTCCTGCTCTTTCTTTGCAAACTGAGAGCAGTGAGAAAATTGCTGACAGCCTCTCTGTAGGGAAGAAGAAAAAAGAAACAAGCACTGTAATTTGCTCGACAACTGGTGTAAAACTTTCTGAAGTTCTGTGTTAGACTCAAATATATTATTTTATAATACAGTTCATCAGTATCCTTGTTATTCTTGCTTGATTTTCTTTAAACAAGCAGACATAGCTTATAGTAATGCAGAGCTCATTCTATTCATACATCTGGGGATATTGTTGTGAGACCCTGGAATATCACCCTTGATTCTGAAGGATGTACTGAAATTGGTTGTGACAGCATTAGCTACTTGAAGCAGTATACTGGAAGTTTCCCTTCTAAAGACAGGGTCTTATATTTTTTAGAAAAGCGCTTAGGCACAGGACTAAGTTTAAGTGTGAGAACAGTCCCGCTGATTATAATAAGAGTACTTGCACTTAGAGCTAAAAGAATGCTTAAGCAGCTTGCTGAATGAGGGATTTATTTTCTTTTGATAGACATTTAGTTGTTCTGTTATATAGAATTTGTGGATATGATAAAAGTATTTTTGCTTTGTTAGTACTTTGTAAAAAACAATTACAAAATTTTACAATAGCTGCGATTATGTAGCTATATTCTGATTTTCTTTTTTCTTAGATAGTTCCAGATAGAAAATGAATTTTCTCTTGGTAGTTATGATCACTGACTTTTTTGCTTACACGTTTTTGTAACTTACCTGTATGCCCCTAGGTTTATGCAGCTTATCCCTAGATTGTATCTGGACCTAATGAAACCAGGTTGTATTTCTAAAGCACGTGTGTAGGCCTCAACAGCTTCTTCGCTTCGATCCCCATTTGCCAGGGTTGCTCCAAGACGGTTCCATAATGTATAGTCCTGGTGAGAAAATGAGTTTTCTACTGTAGGTGTCAAAAAAGGGACAAGTTTTTGCTTGCAAAGTAAGGAGAACTGCAGAAAATAACAGTATCATATGTTCTCTTAATTGACGTGGAATGTGAGGTTCTGATTCATGATTACAGGCAACTTTGTATAACTAGGACAATTAATCAGCACACAGCTAGAAATTAGAAGTGTATAAATCTGCTCCTAAATGGGACTGTCTTGTAATTAACATTTCCATTTCAGGTATTAAAATTTTAATGGCTGAAATGACATCTCATTAATATTAGCCAGATCAAGAGAGCAGAAAGAAAATGGCCTGTAAAGCTAAATTCTTAAAATTGTAAAAGCAAAAAATGTACCTCTGGCCGAACAGTTAAAGCAGCACTAAATGCATCTATTGCTCTGTTAAATTCTCCATTCAAGTGGAAAAGAACTCCAAGTCCTGTCTGCAAGTCAGGGTCTATCATATCACCATTCTGATGAGCAGCCTCCAGGTACAAATCCTTTACTTCTTCAAGTAGTGAGCTAGACAAGGGTGAAAAATAATTTTAAGTTCCATTCTTCACAAATATTGTAATATTGATTGCATAGTCAGAAATTAAAATCCTTGTAGGGGATGTATTAGAGGTGATGCACTCCCAAAATTTGAAAATAAGCTTCTTCAACTTCATCATGGCAAAGATTTATTTCTGGGTGCTGTTGTAAACTCATGTCTGGAATAAAGAAGTTCACCTATATAATGAAAAGTCCTGTGAGGAGCAGCTGAGGGAACTGTGGTTGTTTAGCCTGGAGAAAAGGAGGCTCAGGGGAGTCCTTATCACTCTCTACAACCACCTGAAAGGCGGTTGTAGCAAGGTGAGTGCTGGTCCCTTCTGCCAAGTAACAAGTCATAGGACAAGAGAAAATGGCCTCCAGAGGAGATTTAGATTGGATATTAGGAAAAATTTAATCACTAAAATAGTTATCAAGAATATGGAACAGGCTGCCCAGGGAAGTCGCTGAGTCACCATACCTGGAGATATTTAAAAGATGTAGATGTGGCGCTTAGGGACATGGTTTAGTGGTGGACTTGGCCGTGCTAGGTTAATGGTTGGACTAGATGATCTTAAAGGTCTTTTCCAATCTAAATGGTTCTATGGTTCTATGAAGTAAAAATGAAGCTATGAACCCATGTGAGATAACATTAAGGCTTATTAAAAGTATTAAAATTAGTTTCTCAAATATACAGAGTGCTTTACTGGCAAAAGTAGTAGTCATCTTAAGAGGAATAGATCAAGTGACTAGCCAAGACACCTGAAGAAAGATGCCAAAATTTAAGACTTCTGTACCCACTGTAGGCTTCATAAAACTTTTGCACTGACAACATTTATGTCAGCGGGATGAGGCCAAAGTAGAATAACGTACTTAGCAATTAAACAGAACCTGCATATTTTATTTTTGCTTATATTAATTATCTTGTCAACCCAGGGCTTGTTAGTGATAAGGGTAAAACATAAGGCCTGTCTTCAAAATGACAAGCAGTGAGATAGCCCTAGCCTTTTAGTTCTATAAATAATGTTTATGCCTTTAATGACTTTATCAAGCATCTCACAATTCAGAGATCATTATTTATTGATCTCATGAAATCAAGATGAAGGGCTGCCAACTCATGATTTTTTTTGTTATTTAAAATGGCTGCCAACTCCCATTACAGTATGGTAGGCTGAAGTCAGATAAAATGACTACATTATCTCTCTGGTTGGAACCAGAATAGCTTTTAAACAAGCAGATGCTACTGCCCAATATTTTCAGTGGACAGAAGCCAAGTCCCACTGCAAAATGGCTGTCATTCCTGGATTTTAGTGGTTTTGGTTGGGATACAGAAAATATGACAAACAGTAGGAAGAACAAACACACAGAGAACAGGATACAGGCCTGGTATGGATTTGGTAGTAGAGAAGAAGAATGAGGATGTGTGATGTAGGAATACAGCAGGCCAGGTCAGAGGAAAGTGATTGGAGTTGAGGGGAAGCATCAGTTTTAGTTGTTGGTCTGTTTGTTTGTTTGTTTTAACTTCCAGGGACGGCATAAGATACAGTCTTCAGTCTCTAAACCAAATGTCCTGTGTTGCCTTCCCACTCCTGGGAACAGGCTGGACTTCTACAGAGTAAGTGGGCACAGCATGCACTATAATTTCTAGTGATGTTGTTTAAATGTCCACCATCAGGATTTACACTGCGTTTACCTTTCATCTGATGTCTTAGACATTCTCCTGGTAAGTGCAGGGGACCCTTTTTTGCTTTTCACTATATACTTGTATTTTGGATTTTGCTTTATCCAGCTTCTTAGAGCTTGATAGGCTTCTTGTTGATGGCCAGTGTTAGTATAACTTACAGCCAGGGCCATCAGAGCTTTCAGGTTGTTTGGCTGGAGTTCCAAGCACCTAGGCAGAAAATGAAAAGATACTGAAGGTTATTTTAGCCAAACACAGCTCTTCAATTCAAAAATAATCTACGTAAAACCAAAATCGATCTCACAAGTAAGATCTACCCAGTAATACTTTTAAAGAAGGGACTTTGTCTTATTTTTCTGATAAATGAATATATATATATACACACACACACACACGTGCATGAACGTTGCTGTGCATACACAGATATGTACATAAATATATGCACCCAAGTTTTGTTTTCATCCTTCTGGTTTTGAGTAAATATAGGTAGATTAATTTTTATAATATCTGACTAGTAAACAAAGAGAAGCTTTATGTAAATTCAAGGGAACAGTTTAATATGGGTTTCAGCTATGCAAAAAGTATTTTGAGGAAAAAATTTCTTCCATCCTTATGTCTGTCATCCTGAATTCTCAGTTTTTCTTTGATAAAGCTGGAGTCAATCAACTTGAGTAGTCTTTCTATGGTTATATACCATTAACTTAAACCAGTATCTAGTTTATTTTGGGAACATCACAGTTGCTTGTTAGAAAACTGCTGGGATAAGCAAACCCTAAATCAGAAAACCCCTTGGACTTCTATCCAGGTAAGTGAATAAATTACATATAAATAAGTTAGAGTATTCTTAGGTGCAATGACTTGATGGTTAACATTGCTAATGCAGTTGAATACAGGGAGGGTCCTTGCTTCAAATGGAAGCATGAAAAACCACTACAGAAAGATAATAATGCTGATATTTTTGAACTGACATTTTACATACAAGCATACTGTCATCTTCACATCTCTATTGACCTAAAAATGTTGTCAGTTTAGTATTCAGCAGCTGAAGGGAGCTTGTTCCAATTAAGAAAACCTCTTCATTAAAGGACAGACTACAGACAATGTGCCAAGTGGCTAGAATATCAAAAAGGCACTGTATTTGCATTATTCCTAATTCATGTTTATCAGGCCATGTAGCTTTTCTTTTGTGCAACTACTTAAATTACTAGATTAAATATTTCATTTATTTAGTGAAACAGAAATCCTAATCACTAGTCATTCCTCTGAAGTCACTGGGAAGATTTCTATATGTATGTCAACGCTTTACTTAGTTAATTAAATGCTTCATGATGCAGATAAGTATGACGTTAAATATTCCTAAGCCTTCATTACCTAATACTCATCAGACCCCTTATTTAGCAGTTATCTTCATCTACCTTTGGAGGGCGACAATGGCTGCCTGCTCATTTTCATTCTCTGCCTGTGTTATGCCCAGGAACTGCCAGGCCTGCAAAAATAATCATCGTTGTGTTACTTCGTTATATATACCCAACTGCAAGCAGAGTTACAACTAATATCACTGTAAAGCAGCAGGGTGAATAAAAACTGCAGATCTGTCCAGCACTAACTACAGATTTTTCTACAGCATGCATACCAATGGTACAAATCAATGCAGTTTTGAATATCTTTGGGCCTGATAATATTTATAATCAATAAACGCAAAGGTATGTTGTCAGTTTATGATTACATGCTGATTTCTTAAATTTGACCTATTTTACATTTTAAATAGTGCTAGAATTTTAGGAAAACTGGTGCAGAACAATTATTCCCTCATTGCATGCTAAAGGGAGTTCCCTTTTCCTTTATCAGTAAAGGGCACATGAGTGAATACCTCTGCATCATTGGGTTCTTGTAGAATAGCAGCCTCCAGGTATAAGATTGTAACTGGCAGGTCACCTTCTTTCATTTTCTTCAGTCCTTCCTCAAAAGCACCGGGCCAGTCTTTGAATGGATTCTCAGTATGGAAATAATAACCCTGGAGAAAAGAGATAATGGACCCATGATGATGCACTGTAGCAAGGCATGGCAAGTCTATAAAGTTAAATGACTGGCTATTTTGCAACTGGATGTAAACATCCTTTGTTCTATGAAAACAGTATGAGCTCCCCCATGAAATGTCAATGACAAAAAGTGTAAAAAAATGAGCATCACTAAACATTAATGGTTCTGCTCTCTTTACTTTTACATTAACTCTGAAGTTATATTTTCTGGTAGTCATTGGGCTTTCATGCTCCAATCAAAGATAATGGCAACAACTCACACTGCCTGCAATAACAGCAGAACTGAACCTAGCATGAGCCCACATCAAGCAGTTGACTCCCTGCAGTGCTTCCGACCTGATGTCTGTTCAGTTAATACCCTGAAAACTTCTATTAACCTTCAAGATACAGAACTGTGTTGCAAGCACCTGAGTTAATGTTAGAATTTCTTTAAATTTTGCCCTTTTCTCTTCCTGCTACTGCAGTGTAAAGGATATATGTTAATATTTGCTACATAATATAAATCAAATTAAAACATACAATGGAGGAAATAAAGAAGAGAGACAGAATCTCTAAAATTTCTATCCTTAACAGTGTTTGAACGTGCCAGCCCAGACTTTTTTATCTGCTGCTCTTCCTTAAGTGGCTATCTTCAGAAATGCCCATAATCCAGCAGTTTGCTTCATGATCCTTTCAGCTGAATTCAGGCAGCATGCAAGTCCTAAATGTATTCTCACTATGGTAGGGTCTTTAAATCTACCCCACTCACAGACTCTTAAAGAGGATGGGCTCTTTTGGGTAAAATTAGCTTCCATGTCCAAAGCATTTTCTTGGGTTCCCTTGAATACCTGAGGCTCATCTCAGAGTTTCACAGGAAGGGTGTACTGTATTAAAAAAATCTGTGTTACCTTCTCAATGGTTGAGATGGTGACTTGCCCTGGTGCTTCCTGGTTCTCTGAAATCCAGTTTCTGCGAGCCATTTCTTCCCATTCTGCTTGCATTTTATCCCAAAACTCTGTGTCTGACTAGAAGAAAAAGAGGAAAAAGGGAAGAAAATTAGAAACAAATCTTTAAAATAAAATTTAGTTTCTTTCTACCAGTGGTCTGAGTTGGCAATTTTGCTAAGCAGTACCAATTCCATTAATAATCATATTGACTGAAATACTGCAGCACAAATTTGGAATTCCATATAGCCAAATTTCATCTCTTATATTGAAATGGATTTCATCAACAGAAAACTCTTTATCTCAGAGGCAGCATATGTTCTGTTTGAAGCAGGATTTGCAGCAGTTTACACTGCATCTTACTGATACTAACAGCAAATTATTATGTAAAATTGGAAGGAAATGAATGCTGCTAGTCCTTGGCCAAAAAAAAAAAAAAGAGAAGAAAAGAAAAACTAAGCATACTTGCTAAAGAATAACAATAGATAAAACAGATTAAAAGAGAACAAGCATCCCCCTTTGGTAGATTCAGCATCATTTTCAGCTGTGTATAAAAGAGTAATGGCAAATCTTAGACAGAGGGTGTTTGCACAAGAGAATTAATACAAATGGGGATTTTTGACATAGTGGATAAATCCTAATATTGCATCATATACTGTGCTGGTGAGAGGAATCTATAAGAGATTATAAAATTGTACAGTAAGATTAACATTCGGCTCAAAGATGAGGGGAAAATGCATATACAAGAGAACCAGAAATAATGAAAAAAAGAATGAGATTTAGGATGTGTAACAACCACAATAAGGGAACTACTGTGAGTACTAGAAAGTGATGCCAAAAACCAGAAATAGGATTAAAAAAGGAAAAAAAGGGAGAATCCAAGTTAAGGTGCTATTTTTTCAGCCTACACACGTTAGTCATAAGCCCTAAAAAGCAGCTCTGTAACAGTCTATATGCTCAGCACTACGAGCCTTTGCAAAGTTCTCCAGTTCCTACAAAGTCAGGGCTAGAGCTTCAGTGAACTAACACTACTGAGGGCACCATTTCTCAGCTTATTTATGTCAAAGAAAACAGCCCAAATAATTCTATCGTGATTTAGACAGAACTATCTGATGGTGAGATGCAAATCAAAATTAACTGAAGGTATTATAAATTAATCCAGATAGTTTTGTCTGAATCGTCATTACAAGGCTGACTACTTACTACTGTTCCACGGCCAGGCATGATTTGCAAAAGAGCTTATTCTGTGACCTCATGACTTGCTACAATCCTCCTTAGGTACTTGGTAAAAGAGAAGCACAGACTATTATCATATCTAGAATGAGTCAGCAATGAAAACATCTGAGAGCAGGTGTGAAGGGTTAGGAGGACTTGCACTGGCTAACAGTAGGTGTGGCTGCTGTAAATCAGAAGGCTTTCTGCAAATGGCAAGGTGCATTCCCTCTCTAGAAATCTAACAAGCATTGCCTTTTGGCTCTTACTGTAGCACGTGCCTCCCAATATCCAGCACTTTCTTTCAGGAGACTTCCAATTGTCTGAGAGATGTGATTATTTGATCTGTGAAGGTACCTGCTATGTTCTTCTGCAGACTAGGAAACAAATGCGAATCATTCACTCCTGGAGAGTTTTCATTCTTTGTAATAGGAGCAAACAGAACTTGACAAATCTGTTACACAGCAACTTCTGAGGTTTCAAAATTTGCTTTCATTCAAAATTTGAAGGAAATAGAGTCTTTTAAATAGTTGTGAGACTGTGCTGCAATGTCCATTTAGGGTTTGAAAAGGCTAGGATAATGAATCAGATCGCTCCCATGTTTATTCATCAGTCATGACCAGAGGCACTTGAATCCCTTAAACTATCCTGTTCAACAGATGTCTCTGTCAACTATTTTACTTTGAATGCAAATCTGCACTGCATTGAAGAAAAAATTACTTGACTGTGTATATTAATTTTTGCTTGTATTTTACTCACAAAAATCCCTTATCAATCAATGGTATAGAAACATATCAAGACACATTTCTGCAGATCATAAGTAAACATATAAGTGGGTTTAGGTATAAGCTCAAATTTTGCTGCTTAATTACATATTTATAATTCACGTAGGAGTTCACTGTGTGCATACTCCACTTAAAAAGCTAATTAATTACTATGCATTCAAGTCGCCATGTTTAGTGTCTATCTATAGTAAGTCAAAGGTGGAGGAAAAATGTAATGGGGAGAAGACCTGCTGTGCTGTGAAGTCTCTCCACTCATCATATGCTACTTGGGCATGGGCCAGGACTCAAATGTTATTTGGCAACTATAAGCAAAGATTTGCTTGTTTGGGCCAAATGAGTTTAAGTCCCAGCTACATCTTTCTAAGCACATCCAGTACGTGGAGTTTCTGAAACTGGTATGGCAAAGCTGCACTGAGCAACTGCATCATGCACAGTTATAAAATGCTGTAATATTGCCATGACAAATAACAATGTCAATAGCAGAGCAGTTTAATGTCTTTGAGGAAGAGGACCATAAATATTACACAGTCTTTGTTAAAGGCTTTTCCAGTTGTCATTAGTAGCAATTTTTTCATTTACTTCAGTGGCAGGAGGGTTAAATTAATACTGAGTGTTTCTGAAAATCTGGCTTTGGATCAAGACTCCTAGATCTAATTTTAACTCTATTTGCTATGTGACTGATGCCAATTCCTTCATTTCAGTGTTCTTGCTCCCTTAATGCTGGCAAGTTACATTGGACCTACCAAAAGTTTTCAGATCAGTCGAACACATTTAACACGTTTTCAGATCACCTGCAACAGTTAAGTGGAATGACAACTGGGAAAAATGTTTGCGCCATCTGGCTACTTCCAAGCAGAATATTCTGCATTTTGTCAAAGAGGCTATTTTTAGTCAGTATTTAAAAATATGCTGGAGCAGTTAAACAAATGGGAGGCAATAGATTTCCAGACTCTTTACTTCACGTGATCCAATGAAGGGGAGTAGAGCAGGGGGTGTACTTTCTGAATATTGCTGGCTAATTTCTAAACTTACCAATTTTCATAACTTTTAGAAAAGAATTTTGCCTGTCCTGTACTGCCAAAATCTAACTTGCAATGTTCCTTCTTGACAAATGCATAAGAAAGAAAGGTTCTGTGGTTGTTCTTTCTTTGAATTACTGATTCAACAACTCTTCAATGTGAAGATACAGTGAGTTAAACTCATGTGCTAAATACATAAGACTTCCTTAGCTGATATCTTCTCAGAACAAAATTGAAATATGCCTTTATAGCAAAGTTTAGAGTAAAAAAATATATATCAAGGCAAAGATTCCCATTGTGATTTGAGAGAGTACCAAATAAAATGCATCTCAATGACTCAAGCTCCTAGATCCCAATTTAAAATGTGGTTTAGGCAGTCTTAGGAACATCCAAAAGGGATTTTGAAATAGTGAGACAGGAATACCACGGATACAGAAAAGATTCTAACCAGTATTCATGGAAACCACAAAGCTGGTGATTCTGGACTGTTTTCCTAGGCTAGAATAAATTAACCCCATCTTCATCTCGCTATTGTCACATAATTTAGCTGTAATATGTTATGATGCTTCATAATGGTGTATTATACAGCAGATGGTGTTGTAAATAAAATGATGCTGAGATGGGCAGCTCAAAATATCTTTTGACTAAGTTCACTGTGACATCTGCAGTTTAATCTCTACATTAGGGCAATGAGGAATAGGAAAATATAAAAATTGCTTTTTTTTCCATCTCTGAGACATTCTCAGTTGGAAGTATTTGCACTTTCTTGGTTTCATTTTTATTTGTTCTAACTCATTACCAATAGGATGGTGAATGATAAAACAACTTTCTGAGCAAAATATAGTTACCGGATGGATCTGAATTCCCATGTTTGTATTTTTTAAAAATTCAAAAGTACCAATTTTTGGTAAAACACAGCTAATTATTAGAAAGATTGCATTAAAACATATTTGGTATGGCACTTGGAAATCATGAAGTCTTTAGGCTATTTGTGCTTCCCTCATGTGGGTAGCAAAGGGATGAGGCAAAAATCAAATCCAGTTTCCAGAGTAACAGCAAAAGTATCTAAGCCTGCAATCACCCAATCACTGCAAGTGAATTTAGACCCTCTCTAGTAAAATAGCTAATTTACTTACCTCTTTATTCTTAAAAGATTCCCCAATGGCATAGACTTCTTTAAACCTTCTTAAGAAAGAATTACCTCACAGATCTTCATTAATCTTAAAGTCTGACATGCTAAAACCATTCCCAAAGCTCTAAAGTGAATACTGGGTGGAGGATAAAGTTTGGTGTCTTCATTTACTGAATTGTTAATTAATTCCTTTCAAAGTAGGCCACAAAGAACCTGAGATTTTCTTCCCTTTCTTGAACAGTTTTCTGACTAATCTTGCCACTTGGAGCTTTCCCAGTTGAAGAATATTACAGAAACATCCAAAGCCTAAAAGATGAATTTTTGAACGGTATCTATTCTCCTCTTAAGAAAGCACTAATCTTTCTGAGATGGGCTGCAATTTATTTCAATCACTTTAGCTTTCTTACCACTTCATTTTAGCTGGGATGAAAATTCAACCTTTTTCATATGCAAATGGAAATAACTGTTCTATAAAGTCTTGAAGAATCCTTTCCTTTCCATTTTAACTACCTGGTCCAAGTTTCTATTTCAAGCAGAAAGAATAACTGAAGACTGCCAGCTATGCAGTTATGGAAACGTTGAATTAGATTCTTTTAAATAGCTATTTTTGAGACTAAATTAAAGCATTTTAAAAACCTGTCTTTGTTGCATCAGAATGACCTTTTAATGTGCAGGGTTATTTTTCCAATGTATTATTCTCCTTACTTTACTCTCTAAAGTAATTCAATAATGTCTTGTAATCTGTTGCTGGTCTCAACTTATTTTTCTTTCTGCTGAATGTCTGGGAACTCCAGCACATCACACATGGTTTCTGACAAATGCAAGAGTACTGACATCATTTGCTTTACCGCTAACCATAACACAGTGACGTTCATCATCAGATTCCCGTGTCACAATCACAGATTACCGCATATGTCCCACCTTAAGGATGAGTCTGCAGTGCAATTAGAAACATCCTTGAGCATTTTAATCAGTGCCAATTTGAAAGCAAGTCTGGAGCAAAAGTGTATGATATGTAACATCAAAAAGCTATTGTGCGTCACCAGCAGCTGTTTATAAAAAATCTATTATCAGGAAAAAACAGCGCACTCAGAAAATATGTGAAAAATACATTCAGTGTATAGTTTATAGAACAGCCAGCTTACTGATTGTGTCCATTTTAGCCTTGTACGCTGAGACAAGGATTTTTTTGTATGCAGTTATATCCTAAGAAACCATGGTAGAAACCATGCAGTCTTACCTTAGCATATCATTAAAAAAACCCTATAAATCAAATTAATTTCTTAAATAAGAAATTCTGTTTCTAGCTAGAAGCCAGCATATGATTTAGGCCTAGTTTGGCTTGTAATCAAGCAGTATTAATCTAGAATAGTTCAAATACCGACACTGGAATTACAATGGTATCAAACTTGAGTTAGAGGAGTATTAAAATATAGACACTAAAGGTTAAATCTGAACCCAAGTATCCCTAAAGTGTTCTAGAGGTTTGGAGACTAATGAGACTGCAGTTCATGCTAAAAATAATCAGTTTTTAGCAATCGGTTTCACAGCCTCATCCTTTCCACCCTAAACTCTCATTTCAGTGGCTGTTAGATCATTCAGCCTTCACTTTTGTCCTCAGTGGGATGCAGCTATGTTGGCTCTTTGTGGCGATGGGATTTTGAAGGGTTACCAACGGAACCCCTGAGAAGATATGATGCTCAACATCAATGCTTGTATCTATTTTTTTGTTGCATTCTGTTAAACAAATTGTGTTACCTTGTATTTAGACAGGATTGGGATTTCAGTTGGGACTAGCAGTATAGGACAACACTCAAGAGACATTTTTCATGTTGGAAAGTAGTAGTGAAATAAACAGAAGTGAATGCGAGAACTATACACATACCTGGACCTTTTCAAAATAAATTGATTTATCAGGAAATCAGAGTACTCCTGTGTTTAAGATTCTGCCATTAATTATAAAAATGCATTGGTGCATTGTTACTGCTATATATAGTGCAGTTTCCCTGCGGAGAATTGGTTTGTGTCTGAGCTTAAATAATGAATTGCATGCATTTAGTTGCTGGGGAAAAAAATGTTTCACTCATACTTTCAGTTTAGAAGTACTTACATTTATGGGGAATTTTTCTTGGCCCACTTGCTATAGCAATACAAAGTCGAGCTTGAAAAGTTGGTTCTGTCTAGTTTTCATTTATAGCTAAGGTTATTTTTTTTTTAAAGAGAAATTGCTATTTTAAATTACTAACTCCAGGAAAGGTATCTTTTCTCTGCTTTAAATAATCCAGTTCCAACTTTCTCCTATACTTGTGCTGCAAGATGAGTAAGAAATCAATAGAACATTAGCTAAAAATGAAAACAGCAAACGAAATAATACCTCAACGGCTGCCTTTGCTCTTTCAAATTCCTCCTCCAAGGAGTGATTTCTGGAGAGAAGAGGCCCTCCCCAGCGCTGCTCCTTAGTTGATCGTGCCTAAAAAAATAAAAGAATAAATCAGAAAGGGATTATATGCTTTCTGTCACATTTCCGAGTTATTTCCTTAATTGCCTAGAGCCCCAAATGGCTTTTTTCTTGAGCAAAACTAGTTGTGTCCCTGCATGAATTTGTCTGACTTCTCTTACACTGTCGCAGAGATCATTTCTCATGGGAAGCAAAGTAATTTATCTTTTCCAGATTTTTCACTCAGGATGTGTGAAAGATGAAGAGGCATCCAAGAAAAGACAATGCAAGAATTGGGCTACAAAGAGGAGAGCTGACTATTTTGTGTAAGACTTCTACCTTAATTGTTCCTTCTCCCGTGTTACGACTGTGGCAACACCTTCCCCCACTGTGTTCCAGGAAGAAAGCACAGTTGGCCTAATCTTGCTAAAGAGAGTTCTGACTGCTAATCCCTTCCCTTGTGTTTGTCAGAGGTTAAAGTCATTAGCTATTTGCCTGACCAGGGTCCCAATTGCATTAATTTGTATGATTATATTTCTGATGACTGTACTTGTAATATTAAATTTCAATGAGCTGTGTCGCTAAAATACCAGTTTTGCTCACTTCAGACTCCTTGGGCTGTGCCTGCAAGTGCTGGAATGTGCACTGCTGGGATGAGACATCCAATCCATTCCTCAGTGTTCATATAATTAATGGTCAAACATGTATGCCTATGTGTGTACACACATGGGTTTTTACGTAGAAAGATGACATTTGTTTGTCAATCTAGCCCTAAAGTTTCTGTTTTGTTCCTGAGTCTTTGGTCTCTGAGGTAGAGATTAATGAGTGAAATGAATATTGAGTTGATGATACATAAATGGGAAAGAACAACACAGCACCATTTCTGTGAGAAGTGCATGGAGGGGTTGGCACTTTGTGCATTCTCCTGTGTTGGCTTCTGGACTTTGCTGTGAGTGTCAGAATCACAGAATCACAGAATCGCTCG